CAGAGGCGAAACTAGACTTCCTTTCACAAATATTCAGTTCGCCTCTCCCCACATCCACATGCACACACACACGAACACAATTGTTTTTAAAGGGCACAAAAAATAGGCAATATATTATCTAAATACAAAGTTGTACTTTCTAATACTTTTTTTTATTTGATCCCTTGCATTTTCTTCCAGCCCCCTTCCTCTTAGGCAGGCAGGCAGGCAGGCAGGCAAGCATGTTAATATGTACCAAGCCAACCATCCACCCCCGCCACCCAGAAAAGCAGTAAAGACCATGCCAACTTGCCTAGTTCCTCTGAGCTTTTTACTCAAAGAGCACATTTTTTGGAGCATGGTTGAGCTAGAGAGACCAAGTGGCCTGACACAGAATCAGGCAGTTTCATGTGTGTCTGCATGTTTCCCCCCCTTTTCATATTGCTAAGGAAAGGCAGCCCCCCACTTCTCCCCACAGCTCCGTGCTCCACATGTCAAGCCCTTCCCACAGGAAAGGCTCTCCTCAGTGCTAAGATATAAATATAATAAGAATGGAAACTGAGAATGATCCGGCACATACAGTGGTACCTCAGGTTAAGTACTTAATTCGTTCTGGAGGTCCATTCTTAACCTGAAGCTGTTCTTAACCTGAAGCACCACTTTAGCTAATGGGGCCTCCTGCTGCCGCCACACCGCCGGAGCATGATTTCCGTTCTCATCCTGAAGCAAAGTTCTTAACCTGAAGCACTATTTCTGGGTTAGCGGAGTCTGTAACCTGAAGCGTATGTATCCTGAAGCGTATATAACCTGAGGTACCACTGTATCAGAATGTAAGTCGTATTGAACTCAGTGGGACTTACTTCTGAATAAAAATGCTTATAATTGCAGCATAAGACTTTACCCAGTTAAGGATGTCTGATCTTTCCATCAATGTCAACTAGTCCAACCCCCTTCAATGCAGGAATTTTTCACCCAACATTTCAAGACCTTCAAGAGTCTTATGCTCTCCTGACTGAGCTATAAAAGGATTAGATAAATTCATGGCAGGTTACTGATGGCTACTAGCCACAATGGCTATGTTCTCCCACAACCGTTGGAAGCATTTTTCCTCTGCTGCTGCATTCAGGTCCTGCTTGTAGCCATTAGCATTTGGCTAGTCATTCAGAGACTAGGATGCTGGATTAGATAGGACTGACGCAGCAGGCCTATTTTATATTTTTAGGACATTAAAAATGGTAACAGAACATAAACGAGGACTTATTACTCCTGCCCAGCCACACAGATGGGAAAGGAGTGCAATTGTGTAGGATTAGGGCCAAGGCACTTGGGAAATTGCAGCATCAGCCAGCTGTTCGGCGGTTGGAGGAGTGGATTGGAGCGAGTCTGCAGAAAACTGTGGGACCTTCACCCACAACCGACTAGGGAGTCAGAAGCTGTGTGGGAGATGAGGCTGCGACTTGGCTTACGAGAGGGCAGCAGTCCACCCAGAGGCAGTGAACTCACCTTAGGTAGCAGTCAAATATCTTAAGGGCTCTTGAGAGCAGTGTGAATAGCAACAGAGCAGGGAGAGTTGCTCCACCTGTAGCCCAAACAGTAAAATGGCTGACAGGCTAGGAGCCCCAATGGAGCCCCCTGGAGGCTTCACCTGGGACAAAAGTACCGGTACTGGCTAGCCCCCCCCCCATAGCTACGGCTCTGAGGCGATGGATGGGTGATTTTGCTAAAGCAAAAGGCGTAGGGGACTAGTTGGGAGTTGGCTTATGGATTTCATTTAGGGCTCCTTACGCCCCGCCCCGGAATCTGATCACTGGCATTACGTCTATGAGCAATGCATACAATTTGCTCTCAGACAGATTAATAAATTGCAAACTAGATTCTGGATCGTTGCAATCCACGTGTCTCTTTGGGAGCCAGTTGCGTTATACTTAATCCTTTGTTCACTGATGACACCTGGGCTTTTTCAGGGCGGAAAAAGATAGGATGTGAATTTCCTCAGACTTTGGAGCCTTGTCACTGGCATCATTCTAGCGAATGAAAGGCATCCACTTATCTGGGCTGTTTTCAAGGAAAACAGTCATTTTTAGTCATTGTATCTCTGGCTTCCAGGAACAGTTGCCAGGTTGCAACATGGAATAAAAAAACAACCCTATACATTTAAAACGGCTGCTGAATTGAGAGAATTGGGAGCTGAAGCTTCTGCTGTCTATTCTACCCATAGTCCTGTCATTCCTTTCCCCCCTGCAGTAATGAGAGGGATGCCTCACTGGTAACATGTCATAGTTGACAGGACAATGAAGGCAGAAGAAGGCCTGGTTGCCCCTTCCCCTCATTCAGCAGCAGTTTTAGAGGCAATGGGGTGGAGGAACCTCTGGGTTGAAACCGGGGTTCCCTGGTCCCAGGACTATCCATTTCAGAGGATTAATTTTAGCTGGACTGTCCTTGTGTTGTCAGGCTCAACGTCTAAAGAGGCCTAAAGAGAACTGTTGAAAGCATTACGGGACACACCCAAAGTCCTATTTCACAATAACATTACTTATTGTTTTCCAAAGCAGCAAGGAAAATGCATGTATGTGGCTAAAGACTTTGATAGGCTTTATCTGTGCTGAAAGGGGAAATTTCAAATTAAGAATTATAACATTCATCCTGTTTGGAGAAACTGAGGCACATATGTATTATATGCAGGGTTTTGTTTATGTGGGAGAACTTCCATCAGCATATTGTGTTTTGTTCTGGATTATTATTATTTTTTGTTTTAAAAAACCAAGTTATCAGTTTTTTAACAGGTGGAAGAAACTCAACACCGTAATTTCGCTCCATAAGATGCAACACACCGTATTTTTCGCTCCATAAGATGCACCTGACCATAAGACGCACCTAGCTTTTAGAGGAGGAAAACAATAAAAAAAATATTCTGAATCAAATGTTGTTGAAGATGCTTTGCGTTGCTTTTGCTGAAGCCAGAACAGCAAGAGGGATTGCTGCACAGCAATCCCTCTTGCTGTTCTGGCTTCAGTGATAGCTGCGCAGCCTGCATTCGCTCCATAAGACACACACACATTTCCCCTTACTTTTTAGGAGGGAAAAAGTGCATCTTATAGAGTGAAAAATACAGCAATCACTCTGTTTTCACATTTTCTTTTTGTAAGCAATATCAAGAAATTGAGGTGCACATTAAATACCTCAGAACCAGAAATTCCTCCTCAGCCTTTTAGGGTGTTAAGTCTGAACTCTTCAGCTCGGTTTAGTCCAGTGGTCCTACTAAAGCTGCTCTGGAACTTCCTACTGTTTGGGGATGTAGGGAATGTGAACCAAATAGTTATTTCACACCATAATGGACTATCTCATTTCCAAACGTAATCTTCACTCTCTCTCTCTCTCTCCATCCTCATTTTTCCAGTCTTGTCAAATAACAAATAAGAGCACAAATGAATGAAGAGTATTAGCCTTTTATTTCAGCTCCTCCTTTATGAATCATTGGCGGCATGAGTGACTCATAAGGCAGAACTTTCAATTTCAATGAGAGAGAGGGGGAAAGTGTCTTACTTGTTGGATGGTACATTGTCTTGTGGGCATTGTTAATGCTGGTGATTTATCTCCCTCCCCCTCCCCTTCTTTGTCTGACACACACATGTCTCAAATTGAGTCTTTAATCTTTATTATTCTTGCTCTAGTGGTTTTCAGAATTTAAAATCAGCACTGATCTAGAAGAATGAGTAGTTCTTATGTTGCCCTGCTCTTAGTCAGCTAACCTTTATGCTGAGGTATATGAAGGTATGTAGCAGGATAAGCTGGTTCTACAGGAGTTAAGGGACTTTCAGCACACTGCAAAATATATCCTATTGCTTGATAGTAAGTCCCCTTGATTCCAGTGCAACTTAGGACGCTTACAGACAGTCACTATTTTCAGGTGGCATTCAATCATATACTACCAGCAAATTCACATTGCACAATAATAGCTGGTTGGGAGGTATTGTGTAACAAACCAACTTCCTCCAAATACTGAACATTTTACAATAAGGAAATCGATGGGAAAATGGATTGGGAAGTATGGGAAAATGCTTGCTTCGATGAAACATCATCTAACCTCCATGCAAACAAATCAGAATAAATGCTCATTAAATAGCAAACATTTTCTAATCTCCCTGCAAACATCTCAGGCTGAATGCTCAATAAACAGGTCATCTACATACACCTTTATTTCCATGAAAGACTCACAGAGTTGGAAGAGGCCCAAATGGATTGTCTAGTGTAATCTAATACAATAAGTCCTGAGATCATGAATTCCACCCAGCTTTTTGTTTAAAAATTTCCAAGACAGGATACTTAACAAGCTTATGTCATTGCTGAACAGCTCTTACAGCTGGGCGGTACTCAACCTTTAGTTCAGCTTTGTCCCTGAAAATTAAATCCAGTTGCCCAATTCATCATGGAGCTCTGCGCCCAATTAAGCCCATGCACATATCCCTTCACACAGGAGGTGAGAACTGGTGGCCACTGGTCTAGACCGGGCCAAGCAAGCCTTCCTGCCCAGCCAGGCAGTCTATCACCTTCTCCTGGACCCCACCTCCTCAATCCTAGCTGGCTTCCAAATTCCAGAGATACTTGCATGCCACATAAAGTACAATCAGAAAACTTGATGGGTGGAGAAGGGGAGATTGTTCTCAGTGGAGGTGGCAATCCAGAAGACAGACAATGTATGTGCAACACCTATCTTCTATCTTCCTCTATCACTTTTCCTCCCCCACGTTGTCTTTGGAAGTGCTCACTCACGGGGGTGGGAAATCTGCTATCCACCCTCGACGGACATGAAGAGATCAGATGAGGGTAGTGGGGGCATAGTGTCCCACACCACAATGAGCACTCCCAAAGATGAGTAAACGAAATGGTGTGGAAGAGGAACTCCCAAAGACAAACAGTCCTCTCTGAAGATTTCAGTGTCTAATCGTATGCATATTGTTTTTCTTAGTGCTCCCAGCACCTTCCTTACAAGCAACACTAAAAAAGAATGAATGTGGATTTACCTGAACAGGTGTGCTGTAGGGGAATTCTATTTTCTCATGGTTCTGGGTCGTCACTGAGGGGTTGCTGGAGCTGATGAGCACAGGAGAGCTGATGTCTAGAGTCTGCCGTCCCATGGGTGAATGGACCATCCTGTTGAGCGTATTTAAGGCTGTTGTGATAGAGAACTGCTTCACACTTTTCCGTCTAGATTCGGAGAAAGTGGGTGACTCTGTGCCCTTTGTTCTGGGCAAGGATTTTCGCAAAGGTGAACCATATTTCAGCTGGGAGGATTGGTGACTTTTGCTTGTCTGAAGAAGTTGCCGTGCTGTCGTATTTGGCTACAAGAAGGGGGAAAATAGGGAGATGAGATTTTGCTGTTGTAGGAGCCCAAGAATTCAAAGCCAACAACTCCAGGAAATGCTTGCTTTGGAGTCTTTGTCTACATGCTAATGACATGTGAAGGGCATGTGTGTGTGTGTGTGTGTGTGTGTAGGGTTTGACCTCGCAAAGTGGACTTGGAAATGCTCTGCGATTGTGATTGCATTGTGATTGTGATGTGCCATGTTCTACTCCAACCTATTTTTTCAAATACTTTGCAGGATGCAGTGAACTCTGGACACAGGGCTGAGCATTCACAATATCTTGCCAAAATCCCTGAAAAGCCAGGCTGTGGGCATTTCCCCACAGAACTAATGCATATACAAATGAACTCAGCCTCAGTTTAGTCTAGAGTTGGGCCTGATTTCTACGTATTTTTATGGCTTAGGTAAAAATAACACTGAGAAGCAGTTATTAGGCTTTAACAGGTATCTGGATACCTGAAAGTTCATCTCACCCCATATATACCTTGTCAATCACTATGCTCTGCAGGTGGATACCATATTATGAATAGGTCCAATCCACACAATATTGGAATTGGGTCTTTAGTGTTGTGGCACTTGCCTCTTGGAATTTCCTCCCCTTAAAATACAATCTGTGTTGTCTTTTCGGCACCCACTTCTTCTACCAGCAATCCGTTTAAGTTGCGATATTTCACTGGAATTGTTTTAAAGATCTTCTTTTTTTTATCACATGATTTTTGCTACCCTGGACTCCTTTGGGAGGAAGGGTGGAAAATAAATAAAATAAATAAACGAACGGGGGGGGGGGTTGGATGTAAATAGGACGGTGCACCCCAAGCTGAAGAAAACAGCTGTTACATGGGACCAGTTGCCCTTGACAACAGCTAGACTCAGGCCTCATTTGAAAACAGTCCTCTATTTCTATCATAGTAGTTAATCTTTACATCCAACTCGCTTAGCCGCCTGCTGTGTACCATTATAACAATAAGCACTGAGATATTCATCCAGTTGGCATTTGACACAGACTTGTAGTCTTGAGATCTAATATTATCTACCAACTATCCTGTAGCAGGAATGCATTTCATTCTGCAATCTTATTTGACATTCTGGAGTGTGTTTACATAGGAAGTTTCCTGTTTGGCATGTGGCAGAGCTGGAACACTTCAGGCAAGAACTTTGTATGCAGTCTATGCTATAAAGGTAGGGAAATGTTACTTATGGATTATGGATGGTTAGCTCTGTCAATTTTTGTTTCTCTCAGTTTTTCATTTTTCCAACCTTAGGTTTGTTTTGCCACATGTCCACATTAAGAAAACAACAACATTTTATTAAAGGTTTAAATGATGAACACAATGCCAATACCAAGAGAATATAGAGCAGAGGTCAGCAACCTTTTTCAGCCATGGGCCGGTCCACCGTCCCTCAGACCATGTGGTGGGCCGGACTATTTTTTTTTTTTGGGGGGGGGGATGAACGAATTCCTATGCCCCACAAATAACCCAGAGATGCATTTTAAATAAAAGCACACATTCTACTCATGTAAAAATATGCTGATTCCTGGACCATCCGCAGGCCGGATTGAGAAGGCGATTGGGCCGCCTCCGGCCCCCGGGCCTTAGGTTGCCTACCCTTGATATATAGTATCTCCTCCCTGCTAGTATAAGTGGACATTCCCATTTCTTTATTGTTCTCTTTCTTCTTCTTCTTCTTCTTCTTCTTCTTCTTCTTCTTCTTCTTCTTCTTCTGTGGTCTCCAACCTGGTGCCCTCCATGTGTTTGGACCACAACTCCCATCAACCCCACACAGAAATCTTCTTTGGGCATAATGTAAAACAAAACTGGCAGGTGTGTGTGTGTGTGTGTGTGTGTGTGTGTGTGTGTAGGGATGGGGTAGGAAGATGATACTCTTAGAAAACACAATGGTATTTGTTACTGTCTTTACGGTGAAATGATGCAGAGTCTTGTGGCACTCTCAATACCTATTGTGCCATAAGCGTTCATAGACTAGGACCCACTTAATCAGATGCAGTAGTGTAATTCTCAGTTGGTTCTAGGGGTTCACTCCTCTGAATTCCTGTTTGCAGCACTTACAGTTTGCTGCAGCTTTCATTTCCTATTTTGAGTCTTTCCCCACCCCCAGCTACTGATGCATGTGTGGGTATTGGTAAGCCACAGCAAAAAGGAGGAGGAGGAGGGGGGAGGGAGGGAGGGAGGGAGGGAGGGAGGAAGGAAGGAAGGAAGGAAGGAAGGAAGGAAGGAAGGAAGGAAAGATATTTACATATGACTCCATCAACATTTGGTGTGTTTGTTTGCTTGTTTGTTTGACTGGTGTGTGTATGGACTCCACAGCCCAACCCGTGAAAATAATAGTGATGCCACTGATCTCATTAAGACCGAGTATTTGCTATATTATGACCCCCAATATGTAAACAGCCCATATGCATTGGTCACACACTACACAGATAATCTTGATACAACCATATGCCTGGGCTCATCAGTATTGGTCTCTCTACTACCTTCCACCCTCCCTGCCCCCCAGTATTTATCAATATGCACATGTGTAGTGTTATCGGAGAAAAGATGTGACTGAACTCAAAGAAGCGGCAGCATTCTTTACTAATTCTATACAAAATTGGGAAATAGTCCACTTAGTTCACTGCCACCATCCCTCAGCTGCCTTGAGAGCACAGGACACATGCTTTATTATTTATTTATTTAAGGTTGCTCCCACCGACTAGTCCTAACTCCCCAGTCAGCTGAGCCTCAGTCAGCCCTGTCCCCTGTTTATTCCCTTCCCCCTTCCAATGGATGGATGTGTCAGAACTGCCTCAAGAAGCCTGGCTTGTTTTTACTGGAAGCCTCTCTCCTCCCTGTGCTGGCCCTGCAAACCCATTGTCTGTTAGATCTCATAAAGATAATCTCTGAGAACATGTAGTACATGTACAGGCATTGGCAGCTATTTCCCCGAGTAGCTTCAGAACATTGTTCTTACCTCCACAAACAAGATGGGGAAAATTCCAGTTCTGTCGCCTAACTTGCCCTCTGCCCAATTCTCATCCACCCGGCTGATGACAGTAATTATATCACCCTGAAAGGCAATAGTAATAGCATCAGTATTAATAATAATAATAGCAACAACAGACAGTTGTCAACATACTTCTCTGTGCTTGATAGATAACGAATGGGTTTGTCTCTTGTACCACAATGAGAGATGAATCATTCTAGCCTTGGCCTTTATATCATTAAAATATGAAATAATGCATCATTTAATGATCATTGCAAAGTCAAGAAGGCACTTCCCAGTGTGGCTTATTAAATCTCACCTATTTGTTTTTCAAGGTGGTATACAACCTTTTTTATGTGAAAAAAATATATCAATAATAAGGCAGGAAATAAAGCATAACTATTATTTATTATTTCGTCCCTCCAGTTTGTAGACCAATATTATCCTAGGAGGAGCAGTTAGCTCTGGAGATTAGCAGTGGGCTGGCTCTGGTATGTGAGTCCTGACAGGTCACCAACAATGTCAACCCTTGCCCTAGATTGCCATGGAATGCCTTCTAGACTATTGCTCGAAGCAGCTCACAATAACAATGTGTAGAACAGTAGTTTTAAAAACAAGATGAGTAACGTCCCCCCCCCCACATGGTTACTCATATTGATTCCAATTCAAAGTGATGGTTTTGACCTTTAAAGCTCTTTACAGCTCAGGAACTCCTGATTTGCACCTACCCAGACCCTTAGAACTTCATTGGAGACCCTTCTCCAGGTCCCTCCTCTGAGGGAAGTTCTGACGGTGATGACAAGGGAGAGGGCCGTTTCAGTTGCTGCTCCTCATCTGTGGAATGCTCTCCCCAGTGAAGTGCACCCAACACCCTCACAGACATCCGTTCAGCATCAGGGAGAGACCTATATTTCCCCCTTTCAGGCACAGCAAGTGGTGGGGGCTGAGGGGTCTTTGCCCCCCCCCATTTTCCAAGGAGGGGGCTGGGCTCCCCCCAAATCCTGTGGCCCTGCTCTGCCTCCTCCTCCCCACCAATGTCACACGGGGAGGAGGAGGCCGAGCACGGACCTCAGATCTGTGCCCCCATTCCCCACCTGGTTCATGAGCGCTCGCATGCTAGGTGGGGGCAAGACCCATCACATGACGTGTCATGTCATGTGACACACCATGTGATGCGTCCCTGCAATGTGGGGGGGGCAAATCTGCGCCCTCATCCCCTTTGATTGACAAAGCTGATTCTGTTCTATTGTTAGTGTGCTGCCCTTGCTTCCCATGGCTGTTCTGGGTGTGCGTTGCTTTTGGCATGTTGTATAAAAATGTTAATGTTTTATATGAATTTAAATTTTGGTATAATGTATTTATGTTTATGCTTTTAAATGTAAGTCACTTGGGGACTTTTCAGGTAACATGCAACTAAATCATTTAAATAATAACAACAAACATCCCATCCAATCTCTCATTGACTCTGAAAGAGTACCCGCCCTCTGGTAAATATTTGTTTCATCAAGCTCTTTGATGGATGAAGAGAGAACCTGTAAGGTGGGCTTCTCTATGTATAGAGTTGCATATATTGGGTATCACAACCCAAAAGGCTCTGTATCTTATTGCCACACTTTAGATAAGGATGAGACATTCGCAGCAGGACTTCTGGGATGAAATTAGAATGTGTAAAATCTACCTCAGGCATAGGTAAACTCGGCCCTCCAGCTGTTTTGGGGACTACAACTCCCATCATCCCTAGCTAACAGGACCAGTGGTCAGGGATAATGGGAATTGTAGTCCCAAAACATCTGGAGGGCCGAGTTTGCCTATGCCTGATCTACCTAGTGGATTTTTTTTTTAAAAAAAACCCTCCTCCTTTGAATATTATGTCATGTCATAGACTGTGAAACTCCCATTACTTAAAAAAAATAATCATACACGGCGGGGGCTCTCAGAAATCCATTAAGCGCAGGCCAAGGTGACAGGATGAAAGCTGGGTTCACAATGAATTCAAGGACCATAAAGAAGCCCAAATGGTCTTTAAATCAGAATACAATTCTGCCCAGGATGAGCACATTTGATGCTCAAATGATGGCAACAGGATGCTGATGGCAAACACATTAAATGGATTTTGTGGACTCTATATGTGCTTGAGTGGGGAAAGAAAATCCAGCTCTAGTGCTGTTTTGAAAGGGTGCTTGGAAGCCGAGTTAAGCACAACCACAGCCAGGAAGTAACCCTGACTCATGCAACTTCACAGAACCTTATATTTCTTGGACCCCTCGTAGGAAGGCCAGTCTTAAGTATAGCACTTGAAAACTTGAAAGTATGAATTGCACCTTGCTACAATTCACTCGGCTTGCTTAAGCGTGGCAAGAGATAATAAGGGCACAGCCTTTTTTGTGCCGGAAGTTTTCAAAATGGAGAAGCAAGAGTTGAACACCCCCTACTTGTAAGTTGCAAAGTTGGTCTCACGTTGCCAGCCACGGGTCTGTTAATAAATTCTTCTCCCCTTGCTGAAATGTGAAACAGTAAATCCCAGCATTCTAACCATGCCACAGAGGTGGAGATGAGCTCTGTCTCCAGCAGCAAATAAACAGAATGAGTAACCACCGAAACAAAAGACAAATAAAGGAAGAAGAAAAAATAGCAAGAGGAACAAATCACAGCACATCCAGATGGCATGAAATGGAGACAATGTCTGCAGCTAGCAAAAGAAATTGTCCCTTTTCTGTGTCCCCTGTGTTGTTGTCAGTGATGTGGAAAGCCACTTTTAAAAGTGTTGATACTGTCGAAATGAGCAGCAGCAGATGCTGCAGTGAAAACTGGCGCTCACAGCTGGTTCCTCCTCATCCCAGGCTGTGATAACAACTGGCTGTTCGATATCTGAGCCATCCTCCTGCAGCTCCCCTTCAAGCTACCCCTAATCTCAGGGCTGTGTGGGAAAGATCCTTAAAGTGTAACTCGGCCTCATCATTCAATTTCCCACAGCATGGCCATAGACTCGAAACATGAAGCTTGCTCTGTGTTATTCTGTGAGCCAGTTACTCCTTTACATACTACAAAGTGTTCCTCTTCTTATCTTCTAGGTGCTGAGGGGCATATGCTTAGGAAAAACTAATGGCAGTCCTACTAATCATACTTTCTGCTTTCCACCAAAGCATGGTGGGCGGCTCTGAAATACTGGTTAAAGATTTCTGAATTTGGCCTGGGGAAGGGATTACTTTTACATTTAACCAGGGAGGAAGTCTATCAGCTCATGGTTGAAAACTATGGCCCAAAAAGTCTCCTCAATTGGAGTTTCATCATCCTTTTTACATCATCTGGGTTATGATATTGCCCTAAATCCTTGAGGCAGAGGTTATGGGATATTGCATCTTTGCTCTCAATCCATGCAACTTGTGAACCGTTTGTGTCTGGAATTCAATATGGGCATGATTTTCAATTACTCTTGTATCTTACGAATCTGTCAGTACCCAATTATTGCTGACTGTTTGCCAAAGCCAGATTAAATGTATTTCCATCTGAAGTTCTAAACGACAGACTGACCAGCATACCTTATCAGAATAGACTCTGTTTATGTTCTTAGGCTGTCAGTTGTAAGAAGCATATCTTTCTACACTGTGGGGTGTATAAACAAGCCAGGGATCAATTAATTAAACCCTTATTTGTTAATTAACCTGGAAACCCTAGTGCTCTCTAGATGTTTTGAACTGCATCAGCGGTCCCAGGCAGCAGTTAGAAATGATGGGAGTTGTAGTCCAAAACATCTGGGGAGCCCCAGAATGTTCACAGGGTGTATTATTTATTATTTTTAAAAAAATGGAAGATTTACTTAAACCATGGGTAGCAAACCTGTAACACAGATGCAGCAAGTGTCAAAGGTACCTGAGATGTGTGGGGCACTAACTGAGGAGCAATAGTCTCTCCAGATATTGTCTCATGCTGCACTGATACCTGTTCTCCAGTTCAGCAGACTAGAGACACTATCTTAAGGCATCAGGCAAGGTTGCATATACCCAACAGAGTGTATTAAAATGGCACTATTTCAAACGGGATCAAACTTGTCTACACTTGCTAAAAAGGCTGATGATCACTGACTTATACCTTAGTCATCTAGACGGTTGTTGGCATTAATAGTAGTAACTGAGTGAGCATGCCTGTTATATTGTACCCTTACACAGGACCACTAGGTATACTTCCCTAATAAAGACTAGATAAGAGGCACAATAAATCATTGGTCATCATCTGAACTGGGGATGCTTAAATGAGATCTCTGTCATGGGCGAGTGAACACCAGACTTACCTTATGAAATGGCAGACAGTCTGTTTTTTCATTTCTGTTCCTGGACTTCAGATCAAAGTTATAAAGTGCTCTGCACAGGGGGAGTGGCTGTGGCAGCTGTTTGATAACTTGCACTGAGTTTGTTGGGAAACGCCACTGACCCCATTGATCTCTCCTAGGTACCAGTTTTCATCCAGCTGACGGTGCAATATAATGGTGTCACCTTTGTTGAACCTCAGTTCTCCGGGGTTGTGCCCTCTGTAGCTGTACAAGGCTTTTGCCTGGGGAACCTTCAAATAAAAGAAACAGAGAAGTGACATAGCTTGCAACAATCTTGAACCATGAGTGATTTGGGGCAGTTTATGTTGACTTCAAGATCATGACCAGTGTCATGGAAACAAAAACCATTTCTCCATGTCTTTAAAATGACAGGACCTAAAAAGCAGCAATTCTCAATTCATATCAGTGTCCAATATGACTTCTACCAATGAGTAATGTCTATCCTTCTCAAGTGATTTCAAGGAGTTGAAATTTGTCTTGTGAACTTCAACACTTCTTCTGATCATAATTTGGGGTTTAACAAAACAGCTTTGTTTGCATCCCCCTATTTTGTTTTCCTTACTCTGTTTTTTTAATAAAAATTAGAATCAGATGTTTTCTGATAATGCTTTATGAAAATCACGGATTTCATCCTCACAGATCAGTGTGATGACAGCATAAGCAAGGTTGACTGTGCAACAAAAGGTATTCTGAGAACAAAATTCAAACTTTCTTGTTGCACAATCAAGTACATTAATAAAAAGACAGTGCCTGTCTTTATATGACACACAACCCAGTCTAAGAGCTTATCCACACTTACCCCTCCTTGCTCTTTCCAGACATTGCCAATGATTTAAACCTCCATGTATGAGCACTTAAAGGTAAAGGTACCCCTGCCCATACGGGCCAGTCGTGTCCAACTCTAGGGTTGTGCGCCCATCTCACTTAAGAGGCTGGGGGCCAGCGCTGTCCGGAGACACTTCCGGGTCACGTGGCCAGCGTGACGAAGCTGCTCTGGTGAGCCAGCACCAGCACAGCACACGGAAACGCCGTTTACCTTCCTGCTATAAAGCGGGACCTATTTATCTACTTGCACTTAGGGGTGCTTTCGAACTGCTAGGTGGGCAGGAGCTGGGACCGAAAGACGGGAGCTCACCCCGCCGCGGGGATTCGAACCGCCGACCATGCGATCGGCAAGCCCTAGGCACTGAGGTTTTACCCACAGCGCCACCCGCGTCCCTTACAACACTTACAACACTTTATTTATTTATTTTTGCTCTGGAGCTTTCCCCACGAAAACACGCTCTTTAAAGCTCAATCGGAGCAAACGCCAATCTGTGGGAAACCCAAATTGTAGCTACAATTCAGCTTTGAAGAGTTTTTTTTTGGGGGGGGGAGTTTGGGGCAAAACAAACACACAAATGCTAGGACACAGAACATTAAAGCAGTTAAAGCACGGAAAGTTAAAGCCGTTTAGATCTCATTGATTTTCAGTGTATCAGACTGCAATATGTTTTATAATTCATAAGGGTGTTACTGTTGTTATTCCCTATAAAATCAAATGGTAAGAATTTGCTGAAATCAGAAGAGTTAAGGCGTTTGCCTCTTTTCTTTTAAAAAAACCCCAACTTTTTTTTGCCAGCTTCCAAAGTAAAAATGGCTGTTGGGTTGCAATATCTAATTTACTGATCTGAATCCTATTTTATCCACTCTGAAACTTTCAATTTACTATACAATAGACTGGATAATTTAGTCTGCTGGAGCAAACCCAGAGAGCTTCACTGGATTCATTGTCCCTGTTGCAGGTATGATCTGAGAGCAGCTGCGCAACCTACTCCTGCGCCACCGCCCCCTCCCAAAGAAGCATAGCAGAGATAAGGAGAAGGGTGCCGATCACTACACAACGGCTTCAAGTGTAGACCTCCCTGGGCCCATCAGGCAGGGAGCACAGGTATCTGCATCCACTCGAAAAATGAGGTTGCTCTGCTCCCAGTGCCAGGAAGTGATTGAACGATACAGTTGGATGGAAACACCAGGCAGCATAAGAGACCTCATGAAAGTAAATGGACATGCTGTAGCTTCCTTTACACACCTCATACACAGTGTATTCCAAATCTATCCTGAAATTGATGGTGAAAATGTAAAATAGTTACAAAGTCAGAACAGCTGCATGGAGAGGATACCCACAATGCACTGCTTTCCGGCGATAAAGAGGACGAGTGGGGACCAGCAGAAAATGATACAGTGTAGAGTGATTCCTGTTTGCTATTCCAGTTACTCCATTTCATTTCCTCTCCTCCCTCAGTTTTCAACCCCCCTTCATCAGTCAGCTAGCCATGGCCACTGAACATGCTCAGTCTTTACTGGAACGGGTTATTTTTTGGTGTGTGTGTGCACCCTGATAGTTTTTTCCTTTTTTCAATACTTCTGGAAACCTCAGTGTTCCCCATAGTCTAATGATGCCTTCTACCAGTGCATGAGTTCTGTCTATGCAATGTCAGGCACCTGGAGAATTGAGATTGCTATTAGAATGTAGGATAATTAGGCAAAAAAAAATTTATTTTTTTTAAGAATTGGTCCTTCTCTATCTGGACTTTATGATAAGTTCAAACTTGAGGTGGAAGCTATATCTGTTGGTGGCTGCTTAGCTGTTTAGCAGCCTATGCCAATTTCATTTCTACCCATTTCAAAATTATATTCCTTCCCATTTTACATATTGTTCTGCACTGCTGTTGTTGTAATATATATATATATATATAATATATATATATATATATATATATATATGATGGAATCATAGAACTGTAGAGTTGGAAGGCATCCCAGGGGTCATTTAGTCCAGCCCCCTGCAGCGCAGGAATCTCAGCTAAAGCATCCCTGACAGATGGCCACCCAACCTCTGCTTAAAAACCTCCAATGACCTTCATTGGTTGACACTGACTTTCCATGTATTTTTCACAATATGTATTTTTTTATGCATTCTGCCTTAAAATATTCTATGATTCTTTTGCACACATTTGATCCTAAAACATTTTTATATGTATTTTGGCATGCTTTTGGAACTGAGAGCTGTATTGCAAAATCTGGAGAAGTGTGAAAACTGAAGGCTAGCTGTGTTCCAATCTATGTGCAATAATAGTCTGGGAAGCATGAATTAGGTAAAGTCACTTAAAAATGTGAACAAAATAAAGCCATCAAGTATCCCTACTTTCATTTACCAAATGCTAGGGAAAATCATCTGGAAAAGGGTCCTTGCCACCCAACTTGTCATCTTCCCAGAGACATCTGGGCTGGCTGCTGCTGGAAAGTTTTCTTTTTGGTTTTCTTTAAAAAGCCACAGATCAGGCCTTGGGCTGTATATACATTATGCCTTTAAAGCACATTCAAAGCACATTCTTTCCTCCCAAAGAACTATGGGCACTATAGTTTACCCCTTACAGAGTTACAATTCCCACCAACCCTTAACAAACTACAGTGGTACCTCAGGTTAAGAACTTAATTTGTTCTGGAGGTCCGTTCTTAACCTGAAACTATTCTTAACCTGAGGTACCACTTTAGCTAATGGGGCCTCCTGCTGCTGCCACGCCACCACCACGCAATTTCTGTTCTCATCCTGAAGCAAAGTTCTTAACCTGAGCTACTATTTCTGGGTTAGTGGAGTCTGTAACCTGAATCATCTGTAACCTGAGGTACCACTGTACAGCACCCATAATTCTTTGAGGGAAAGAACGTGCTTCAGATTTGAAGGTTTAATGTGCATGAAGCCAAAGACAGCAAAGCAATGAAGAAATGACTGGAAAGTAAGAAGTTGATAATGATGTTGTCTGGATTTCCTGTGAAAAGGGAATGAAGAAAGGAGGGAGACAATGTGTTGGAAGCAGTCATGTTTGTGTTTTTTTTTAACTTAGGTGGCACACCATTGGTCCTCTGGCTCCCATCACTCCATGATGGCTGGGATTGAAGAGAGGTGGAATCCAGAACATCTGGAGGGCACTAGGTTGGAAAAGATCCTGACTGAAAGCCTCTGAGTTCAAATGAATCACTCCCAGGATGCAGATAGGAGCAAAGCATCCTAAATGAACTGCAGTATCCAAGCACACATCCTTTCTTTCTTTACAAACAGAAAACCCTGAAGAGCCAAAGGTCAGCAACTGCCCCAGCTTAACCTGTTCATTTCTAGTCTAAAGACAATCCCTACCAGTGGATTCCAGGTCTGTATTAAAATACAAGACACACACGATGCCTTTAACAGGCATTTTGAGCCCAAGTGGCATAGACTAAATATATAGTCAGCTCTACAAATGCCAAACTTCCCACCTCCCATGTTTTAGAGAACAGATTGATATTAACTGTTCATGCCAAAGACAGCAGATGCAAATGGCTTATGCTTTTTATAGCTCAACGTTAATTTCCAAAGCCCTTAAGCTTAACCCTCACCTTTCTCACATTTTGCAACTTGAGAGGAGAAATCCTATTTTGGGTATACATTAGTTGGCAGGGAAGCTAAAGCCAAGTATTACAATATGGTACGGTTATGCTCATTGTGCCTTCCGTAGGTTTCAAAACTATACTGCTGCCATCAGCAGAGAACCGCCGAAGTATGGAAAGGAAACAGAGTGCTCTACAATAAAGGGCTCCCCACACAAGGAGAAATCGAATGCTCATAGGCAGGGACTGCATGAATGAGTTTGGAGAGACTGTTGCATTGTCATTTTTAGGCAAGAAAAGAGTTCCTGTTACTCTAATGAAGTCTCTGGCATTCCTTAAACATTTGGAGTCCAACAACTTCTGAAGGTCCACACTCATACCCTACTGAGGTCAACAAGCCACACTCCTAGGAAAGTATGCAAAGGATTGCAGCCTTATGGCAGTTCTCTATTATTATTATTATTATTATTATTATTATTATTATTATTATTATTATTACCCCGCCATCTGGCTGGGTTTCCCCAGCCACTCTGGGAGGCTTACAGCACATATAAAAACATAGTAAAACATCAGGCATTAAAAGCTTCCAAATACAGGGCTTCCTTCAAAGGTCTTCTAAAAGTTGTGTAGTTCTTTATCTCCTTGAAATCTGAAGGGAGGGAATTCCACAGGGAGGGGGACACTACCGAGAAGGCCCTATTAATTTCCACCTAGCATTTCCTGTAGCAAATGCAATGTTTTGATTTACTGGTAATACCTTAGCGGCTTCCAGTCCCTGATCTCCTGGTTGTGCTTCTCAATAGTTTGCCAGCACCACTGGAAA